GAAAAATCACAGGGATAACAGAGTTTGTGGGTGGAGGGGAGGGTGAAGTAATGGGAAAGGTTAGAAGGGAGCTCAAAAAGACAGGGTGATAATTGGCATGTTGTTAGATGCCTTAGAGTTGAGTCCGACTCATAGCAACCCCATGAACACAATATCTGAATCCTGTCCTATCCTTTGCTATCCTGACACAAGAGCCCATTGCAGCAGTCACCATGTCTTTCCATCTGGTTGAGGGTCTTCCTCTCCTTCCCCGACCCTCCACCCTTCCCAGCATCATGTCCTCCAAGGATAGCCCCTCCTAGTAACATGCCCAAAGTATATGAGGCGAAGCCTCATCATTCTTGCCTTCAAAGAGCACTCTGGCTGCACCCTCTCCAAGACATATAAAATATAATTAATTTATATATATATATATTTGTATAAAACACAAAGTATGTGTATAAAACATGATATATATGAATAATTATTGCAAACCAACTTTTTAAAAAATGCTTAAAATAGTTTGAAACTGTTGGAAGAAACTGAAATCTAGAGAAAAGAAATGACTGCCTCAAGGATACAAGGCCAGCAAAAGGCAGCTTTGATTTGGTTTTGGGGGTTTTTTTTTACACTGTGTTTCACATTATTCTTCATTCATATTTAGTTTCATACAATCATTCTAGTACATTATGTTTTATAAAATGAATCACCATTGGACACTGTCCATCATTATCCTGTCTTTTTGCCTGGGTGCTCCCTCCACACACCAAACTGTGCAACCCTGTGGTTTAGTCCCTACCCATCCTCAACCTTTCTCCTCTTGAGTTCCCATACATGTTTTAGTACTTATCCTTCTATTTATACAATAAGCATCTTGTGCAGTATTTGTCCTTATGAGACTGTGTTAGTTCATTCAGCAGATTGCTCTCTAGTAGCTCCCATGTTATATAATATTTTTCTAAATCATTGCTCCTGAGTGCTGCATAGTATTCCATTTTGTGAATGTACCACAATTTCCCAGTCCATTCAGTTGTGGTTGGACATTTGGGCTGTTTCCATGTTCTTACGATGGTGAATCATGCTACTATGAACATTGGTGTACAAATCTTCATATGTGCCTCTGTTCTAATTTTCTCAGGGTATATTCCTAGTAGAGTAATAGCTGGGTCATATGGAATTTCTATTTTCAACCTTTTGAGGAAATGGCAAACTGTCTTCCAGAGTGGTTGTGCAACTTTACAATCCCACTAATAGTGTATGAGAGTTCCTACTTTTCCACATCCTCTCCAACATTTATTACTTGCTGCCCTACTAAACTTTGCTACTTGTACTGAGGTGAGATGGTATCTCATTTTGGTTTTGTTTTTTGTTTCTCTTATTGCCTTATTCACATATTTTAATCCTAACCCTCTTGGATCCTGTCTGTAGTAAAAATTTTGATCTTTAATTCTGTTTAAGAAGCAAATGTAATATGGGAGTGGCCAAGTCTCACTTCTGCCTGCTTCATACAGGGGAACTGTCCCCACCGATAACATCTCTGTGTGTGTGTGTGTGTGTGTGTGTGTGTGTGTGGTGCCGTGGAGTCAAGTATGACCCATCACAATCCCATGAGCAACATATCTGAACCCTCTCCCATTCTGTGCCATCTGACACTTCCTGACACACTAGAGTCCATTGTGGCAGTCACTGTGTCAAGTCACCTGGTTGAGGGCCTTCCTCTCCTTCTCTTTCCCTCTGCCTTTCCAAGCATCATATCCCTCTCCAAGAAATAGCCCCTCCTAGTAACATGCCCATTCTAGTACAATATGTCTCCTGATTTTCTGACTACTGATACCAAGTGAGGTGAAATTATTGACAGTTTCAATCTTTTCTCCATCTGTCATGATGTCACCTATTGGTCCACTGGTAAGAGTTTCTGTTTTCTTAATGTTAAGATGTAATCCGTATTAAAAATGTATTCTTAAAAAAATGTATTCTTGATCTTCTGCAACAAGTGCTTCAAGTCCTTCTCATTCTCACCAGGCAAGCTTATGTCATCTACAAGTAGGTTATTGATGCGTCTTCTTCCAAAGAATGATGCCCCATTCTTCTTTATAGAGTCCCCCTTCTCAAATAATTTGCTTAGCATACGGATTGAATAGGTATGATGGAAGAATACATCCCTGCTGCACTCCCGTCTTAATTTTAAACCATGTAGTGTTTCCTTGTTCGGTTCATCCCGCAGCCTCTTGGTCTAGTTATAGGTTTTGCATGAGTGCAATTAAGATCTTTGAGATTCTCATTCTTTTCAATGTTAGCCATACTTGTTATGATCCACACAGTCAAATGCCTTTGCATAGTCAATAAAGAATTAATAGACATTCTTCTGGTGGTGTTTATTTTCAGCCAGGATCCATCTGAAATCAGCAGTGATAACCCTGGTGCCACAGCCTCTTCTAAATCTTGCTTCTGGTGGTTCTCTATGTATTGTTCTAGCCATTTTTAAATGATCTTCAGCAGTATTTTGCTTCCATAAAACATCCATAGCTTAATACAAATGGTTACATGATCAGACATGCCACCTCACGTGCTCCTACACCTATTTCTACCAATGATTGGGTCCCATGTTCATTGCAACTTGACTCACAATTGTGGGGTTTATTAGGGTAATAGGTTGGGGCATAGGGAAGGCAAAGAATATCACACAATGCAAGTTCAGGTTTGATCTAGCAGTCCCAAGCCAGATTAACAAGGAACAATTCCTCAATTAGTGAAAGTATAGGTTTAGTTCAGCAGCACAAATGCACCTCTGGTTTCCTCAATAATCCAGCAAACTTTATCTCAAAGCAGTTACAAGTCAACTTTTCCTTCAATCATCCAGCAAAAAAAACCCAAAAAACCAACCTTTAACTATGGCTCTATCTCCAGGATTCCTCTGGTTACACCTTGCCACGGTCTCTTCACTCTCTCTCTACCACTGTCTCTCACAGTGTGAAAAAAATGCTATCTTATATTGGTTCCACCCATGAAGAGCTGTGATGTCAGGCTGGAGACTAAGCTGTGCCTAATCTGGGCCATAGTCTTCGCAATTGTGTGTTATGCATCAGAGAGCTGGACAGTGACTAGGGATGATAGGAGAATTGATACATTTGAGCTATGATGCTGGAGAAGGGCATATTGAATAAACCATGGACTGTTAGAACAAGCAGGTTTGTCCTGGAGAGGGTAAAACTTGGCTGCTCCTTGTAGGCAAGGATTCTGAAGCCTCATCTGACATACTTTGGGCATGTTGCAAGGAGGGACCAGTCCTTAGAGAGGGACATCATGTTTGGGAGGGTGGAGGGACAGTGCAAGAGAGGAAGACCCTTGATGAGATGGATTGATTCAGTGACTGGGGTAATGGGAGTACGTGTATCAGAGACAGTAAGGTTGGTATAGGATAGAGCAGGGTTTAGGGCTTTTGAACATAGGGTCACTATGAGTTACTAGTAACTTGATGGCATATAACAACAACATATTGGTCCCACAGCTGTTGATGACTTGCAAGACCATGTGTTTGTCTGCAGTTAAAGTATTTGGAGACTGCAATTAAGATAGCCCCCAAAGTGGGCTATTGCAGTGGATAGAAAAGCCAATTTTCAAAATTTCTGATACCACAAGTTCATTGTGGATTTTTTAAAATTTTATTTTATTTATTTTAATGAATATTTACAGAGATTTTGGGTTTCCATTCATTCATTGTTGCACTTTGCTCCCTGCCCAGCCCTTCCCCCCCTCAGTTTGCTCCTCTCTTTGAAAAGTAAAAGAAAAATTCTTTCATTGGTACACAATCCCCCCGCACCCATCTCACCACCCTGAGTACACTCCACTATGCAACCTTAATTGTGGACTCTTGTGATAACCATAATACCCTATCATATATCGCTTTTAAATTGTTCTCTCCCTCATCTGTTTCAATGCAATATACATAATTTATCCAGTTTTTCTGTCTTACCCCAACCCTGATGTCAGTCCTATTCTACAACAGTGGCACCATGCAGTATTTGTCCTTTTGTGACTGAAATATTTCACTCAGCGTAATGTACTTCAGTGTCACCCATTTTGAATAATACTACATAAGTTCCTTGTACCACAGCTTCTCTATCCATTCATTTGTTGATGGGCACTTGGGTTGTTTCCAACTCCTTGCTATTGTGAACAAAGCTGCGATAAATATGGGTGTGCATATATCTGCTTGGATGTCGGTTATGGTCTCTTTAGGGTATATTTCCGGTATTGGAATTGCTGGGTCAAATGGAATCTCTATTTGCAACTTTTTGAGAAAACGCCACACCATTTTCCACAGTGGTTGCACCATTTTACACTTCCAACAGTGAATAAGGGTTCCAGTTTCTCTACAACCTCGCCAGCATTTGTTGCTTGCTGTTCTGTTAAATTTTGGTATTCTGACTGGGGTGAGACGATATCTCATAGTTGCATTGTGGATTTTTTTACATTAATTTGGACTTTGTTAGGATGATTTTCGTTGGCATCACATTCCTCATACTAAGTGCTGTCATTTTTGGAGTTGGAAGAAATTTCAGGGAAAAGAAAGATTAAGTACTCACTGACAGAAGGACATAATTAGTTTAAAATGCGATTAGTTTGCAGGCTAGCCTGGGTGCAGTAGAGATCACAGCTAGTTACAGATAAAATATGATTAGTTTACTAAAACAAAAATAGCCAAAATCTAAATGTCTGGAAACAATAGCAATTACAAGAAAGCACTGATAGCATAAATAATGATCCACCCATCTAATGAATACTGTGCAGTCATTAAAATTTTCTTATAAAATATTTGTTGACAATGGAAAATGTCAACCTAATTCCTCACTAGACATACCCTTTGACAAAAATTACATTTTTCTATGTATATTTTAGCTCACTAGTTTTGTTATAAGAGCAGATGGATTTTTCTGATGGTTCTCAAACTTTGTTTTCTTAACTTGAACACAATTTGATTCTCTTTGTCAAAGATACATAGTCACCTATTTTTACTCTAGATTCGAATGCAGGCTCAAGGAAGCTTGTTCCAAGGGAGCATGATTGGCAGCTTTATCGATATATACCAACAAGAAGGCACCAGGGGTCTGTGGAGGGTGAGTACTCTTCTTATAGTGTTCTTTTTACAAATTATTTTAAATTAAAATTTATTATTCAGTAAAAATTTACAGAGACTTTGGATTTCCATTCATTCATTGTTGCACTTTTCTCCCCTCCCAACCCTCCCCCCAGTACACTACCCTCTTGGAAAAGTAAAAGAAAACTTCTTTCATTGTTTTACAAACCCTCCCCCAGGTCCACTCCACCATGTCGCCTTCACTCTAGACTCCTGTCATGACAAAAATACCGAATCACATATCCCTTTTAAACAGTTTTCTCCCTCATCTATTTCAATGAAGTAGACATTATTTATCCAATCTTTCTCAGTCTCCCCCCCAATTCCAATGTCAGTCCTGTTTTACAACAGTGGCACCATGCAGTATTTGTCCTTTTGTGACTGAGATATTTCAGTATAATGTCCTCCAGGCTCACCCATTTTGAATAATATTGCATGAGTTCCTTGTTTTCCAATGCAGCGTAGTATTCCATTGTGTGAATATACCACAGCTTCTCTATCCATTCATTTGTTGATGGGCACTTAGGTTGTTTCCAACTCCTTGCTATTGTGAACAAAGCCACGATAAACATGGGTGTGCATATATCTGCTTGGATTTTAGTTTCTTATAGTGTTCTATACCCTTCAGCTCCTAGAATTTGCACAGGATCATTTTTATATAGCCATACAATTGTGAGCTATCATCTTATGTGAAATTCTTCACTAGCTCCCAAAATAAAGTAAGGGGCTCCTCATGACCTGTGTTGCCATCCATTCCATTTGGAATCATGGCAACTCCGTGTATGTAGAGTAGAACTGCTTCATAGGGTTTTCAAGGAAGTGACCTTTTGGAAGCAGATCGCCAGCCATGACTTCTGAGGCAAATCTGAACACAGTCTTTTCATTAGTAGTTGAATGCTTAACTGTTTGTACCACCTGATGATGCCTCATCATTTGTAAACTGAGTAACTTTATCAGTGGTCTTTGTTGTTATATACTGTTGAGTTGGAGTTGAGGCAACTCATTGCTGACCTTACAGCAGGTTTTCAGATACAGTGAATTGCACGGGAGTAGATTAACCATCTTTCTCCCTCAGAGCAACTGATGGATTCAAACCATGTGCCTTTGAGTTGATAGCATAGCTCCTTACCCACCAGGCCACCTGAGCTCCCCTCAGTGGTCTTCAGTTCTGCTTAATTTTTGCAGATTGTATGTATGGGAGAGATAATTAAATTAATAGATATAACCATCTTGATTGAGTACAATTCACAGGGGATTCATTATATTATTGCCAGCTTTATGCTAACACAGCAATGTATGGCTATAATATTCTCTGTAGTGCTTATGCTTAGCAACAATTGTTATCATGTTATAAAATATAAAAGATAGTCCTCTCTCCTCCATATTTCCTTTCAGGGATGGAGATCTGCCCCTTTGAGGATGTACCTTTCTTTTTTAAAATTTTTTTAAAATTTTTAATGTGAGTACCGTCAAATCTGATCTGACTGGTACAGGAGGAGATTGTCCCTCCTTCTTCAGCAGAGCATCTGGTGGATTCGAATTGTGCTCCTCTGGGATTGCAGCGCAGCTTCTTGCCACTAGGCCACCAGAGCTTGTCTAGGGATGTAACTTTCTAATAAATCAGTCTTTACTATTTTACCCTCAAAAAAATGTGCTGTAAATGTACCTGAATAAACCATAAAAATGTGTTGAAAAAGATAAACTGTAAAAAATTGAGAAAATACTGAAATGTAAAAAACAACAACAAACAAATTCAATACTTTAGCCACGTATAGACATCAGTGTTAACATTTTGTCATATTTCAATCTTAAATCTATATTATTATTTTTAAAATTATTGTTGCTCTTCCTATAACTTTTCTTTGGAGTGGGGACGGCTTTAAAGAACAAAGTTTTTCACAGTTCTGGAGACTCACAGCTCAAATCACATGTTTATTCATTCCTTGCTGGTAGGTAGTCTGGAAGGTCCTCACATAGAGATTATCTTCCCCTGTCTGTGCATATCTCTATATTTAATTTGTTCTTTAAAAACCAAAAAGTTTTATTGTATTTGGATGGAATTTTACTGAGCAAAACTAGTTTCCATTCAACAATTCCTGCATATTTTGTTCATTACATTGACTGCAACCCCCACAATATAATATCACCCCTCTCATTTCCTCCCTGTCTTCACTCTTTCCATGTGTCTTTCTTTCCTAGCCCTTCCTGCCTTTGAACTTTATCCCTGGGCAGATGCTGCCTTTTTGATCGCATGTGATTGAGTGTTGCCGTATAGGTTTTCATCATCTTTGATCACTTCATATTCAATAAGACTACTAGGACAGTATGCAGCCAGAACAGAATGGGAAATTCTTTAATAGACTTAGATATGTAGTTGTCTGGCGCTGTCAAGTCAAGTATGACTTCTAGTGACCCTGTGAACAACACTTCTGAACCCTGTCCTATCTTGTGCCTTCCTCATCATCTCCGACACTCTAGAGCTCGTTGTTACAATCACTATGTCAATCCAGCTTCCTTTAGGGTTTTCCCCTCTTTCATTGTCTTCCCCACTTTTCTAAGCAATGATATCTTTTTCCAAGGACTGGCCCTTCCTAACAACATGCCCAAAGAGACAGATTTATTTAGATAAATTGTTGTTTACTGTGGAGTCGGATCCAACCCATAGCTGGCCCTCCAGTGGGTTTTTAGAGGCTGTCAATAGCACAGGAGATTGCCCATCTTTCTACTGTGGAGGGCTGGTGGATTCACACTGCGTGCCTTTGGGTTGGTCGTGCAGCTTCTTACCACTAGGCCACCAGAGCTCCCTTATTTAGATCTGTTGTTGTTGTGACTCATAGCGACAACAGCTCTGAAGGCGGCCCTGTCCTGAGCCAGTCTCACTAATTCTGACACACCTACCTCCATTACCCCAATTACTTTATCAATCCATCTCATCCAGGGTTTTCCTCTCCTGTATTGTCCCTCCACCCTTCTGAGCATGATGCCCTTATCCAAGGACTGGTCTCTCCTGACTGTTGGTGTTATGTGCCATCGAGTTGCTTGCGACTCATAGCGACCCTATGTACAAGAGCCCTATGAAGCAGTTCTCAGTCTCTTCACCATCCATACTGATGCTGCCAATTGGCCCAGTGGTGAGAATCTTTTCTCTTCTTGATGTTGAGATTCAATCCATATTGAAGACTGCAGTCCTTGACCTTCTGCAGCAAGCGCTTCAGGTCCTCCTCAGTTTCAGCAAGCAGGATCGTGTCATCCGCATAACGCAGGTTGTTGATGATTCTTCCACCCACCAATCCTGATGCTACATTCCTCCTTGTACAGCCCAGCATCTCAGATGATCTCTCCTGGCTATATGCCCAAAATATGTGAGACAAAGCTTCAGAATCCTAGCCTCCAAGGAGAAACTTGGTTTCACCCTCTCCAAGACAGATCTGTTTGTTCTCTTGGTATGTTCAAGACTGTTTTCTAGCACCACAATTTGAAGGCATCAGTTCTTTTTCTGTCATCCTTAGTAATTATCCTATAGGAGCATTTATTTTTCTTTTAATAATTTACTCCAACTTCTTATTTTACAAAATTTCTGATATAACAATATTTCAAAGACTAGAAAAATGGACACCTATATACACATTACCTGGATTAAATAACTATCCATTAATTTTGCCATATTTGCTGTTTCTAGCTATGTTTGTTTTCTCTATCCCTTTCCTAAGAAGAAGGACAATCTTATACATAAGCACAATATCATTATCACACCTTAGAATATTTACAATAATTATCTAGTCCATATTCAGATTTCTTCTACAGAAGAGACCGGACAAGTTGTCTCATAGAGTGTTTCCTCCTGGTATTAAACTTGTTCCTTTCTTCCTTGTATTCTCTGTAATTTGGAAGTCAGGTTTCTTAACTTAATTATAGTCATGTTGAACATTTTTGGTCCACAAACTTCATGGCTCTATTCTTCACAATGGATCAGAGGAAGAGGTAGATAAAATTAGAATGTCCCACAGTTAGTTGTGCCAACTTCGGCTGCTTGATAAAATGATGTCTGCTAGTGCTCTCATTTGCAAAAGGGATGTTTTCCCCATTACAACTAGAAAGCAATCTGAGGGATGAGATTGTAACAACAGGCATCAATCCTAATTCCTATTAATTTTACACCTGATGGTTTTATGCCGCAATCTCAAAGATACACAGTATGAATCTACCAGCTGTTCTGCAGGAGAAAGCTGGGTACTCTCCTCCCATGTAATGTACTGCCTCTGAAAACCCGCTGGATGACCAGCTATGAGTTGATTCTGACTAGAGGGTACACGACAACAATGATCTTTGAGATTTGCTTTTTGTTAATAGCAGAGCACTGTTTCCTGATTAATTGAAACCAGAAAGTGGAACTAACTAGAACGTTTTTGCAAGTGAATGTCAAGGGAAAAACAAAGAGCTATAAATAGAATTGGAGATTTTGTTTGGGGCCCTTAGCTCTTTTTACCATTGCCTGTTTACATGATTTCAGAACATAATATAAAAGTATATTGTGTTATGTATTCTTTTGACACAGATATATTTTTTGCAGCTCAAAACATGTATTAATAGGACAACCGTGCCCCAGTAGTAAAACTGAGAGGCCAGTGGGGATAGAGGAAGAAGGAAGACACGAACAGTACAAACAGGGAGGAAGTGGGGGGAGTGCTGTCGCATTTTGGGTATTGCAATCAATGTCATGGAAAGAAGTATGGACTACTGGATTAATAACCAATTTGTTCTATACACTTTCTCTTAAATTAATAGTAAAACATTTCAAAAAATTTTAAATGCAAACATATGTTTTATTTCAACAAGGAAATCAGTTACTTCCCCCCCGCCCAGCACCTGGTCCTTCCAGTCTGTCTGTGGTTTATTTGCCCGCTTTGCTTATAACGTGGATACTGAACATGTTATACTTTCTTCCTAACTCCATTGTAAGACCAACAGCGTGAGTATAATGAGGCATAAAGGGGCACTTGTCTCAGTGTTGGGGCTGCCACAGTGTCGTGGGAACTGTGGTGAATTGGGGAGCTCATGCTCTGTTTAAGAGGACAGCTGCTCTTCAGCACCAGCCCATTGCTGTCATTCCTTGACAGGAACCCAGCACTGCCTCATTTTCTATATTGACTCTCAAGAGAAGCTAGAAATCTGTATTTTTGTATGAAACATCCCAAGTTTTCACCTGGTGACTACGAATGCATTCTTCTGGTAAAACTTGTGTGGGCCACACAACACCTGTATGTGGCCTGAATTTGGCTCATGGGCCTGTGAGGCCGTACTGCTCACCCAAGCACAGTCTCCTTGGAAGATCGTCTTTTTTAACAGAATGGAGTGGATAGAAGGGTCAGGGAGAAAGGAATCATTGGACCTTCTGGCCAGATCAGCATTTACTATCTCCTGATTGGGGGACAGGAGGCATTGACAATACAGCCACATGGCCTTCCCTTTGTGAACTGACATTGGGAATTCAGAAACGATTGACTTTATAACCTAAGTGAGCTCTGAAAGCAGTTTTCCCAACAGTATGTCATTTTCCATTAGAGGCATTTCAAAATAGTTACAAATATACATTCTGAATTTTTTTTAAATGTGTAAGATTTAATGGCACCTAACAGCAACAGTGACTGATAATGTTGGTCATCTTTACATGCGCTTATAGAAGATTTTCTGTGTCCTTTTTTGAGGAAATAACCTGTGTAGATTGCTCAACTTTTAATTGGATTGTGTAGTTTTAATTGTTGAGGTTTCAAATCTTTTGTTCATAAGGTCGCTAGAAGTTGTGCTTGACTTGACAGCACCTAACAACAACAACAACAGACACTTATTAGCTATATTTGCACATATTTTCTCCTATTCTGAGAGTATGTCTTCACTTTCTGGATAATACGCTTTTAATCACAAAATTTTAATATTTTTATTAAGCCCAACTGGGAGTCATCTTTTCTTTTTTCTTCTGTTACTTGTGCTTTGAGTATCATTTATTTTTAGTACAGTAACTTTACACTTGACTACCAAAATGCCTGATCCAGGCCATGACCTTTTCAATTACATGCTATGCATCAGAGAGCTGAACACTGACTAGAGATGATAGAAGGAGAATTGATTGATGCCTTTGAGCTGTGGTGCTGGAGAAGAGTATTGAATATACCATGGACTGCTAGGAGAACAAACAAGTTCATCCGAGAGAGGGTGAAACCAGGCTGCTCCTTGGAGGCAAGAATTCTGATTTGTCTGACATACTTTGGATATGTTGCAAGAAGGGACCAGTCCTTGGAGAAAGACATCATGCTTGGGTGGGTGAAGGGACAGTGCAGGAGAGGAAGACCGTCTATAAGGTGGATTGATTCAGTGACTGGGGTAATCAGGGTAGGTGTGTTGGCGACAGTGAGATTGGCACAGGACAGAGCAGGGTTTAGGGCTGTTGTACAGAGTGTCACTATGACTCTCAAGTGACTGGACAGCACATGACAACAGCAACAACTAAAATGTTAGTGATCCAAGTCCACCCCTTAGTGCTGAGGAAGAAAAGCCTGGAGTTCTATTGCCATATGAGTGTGTTGTTATATGCCTTCAAGTTGAGCCTGACCCATAGCGACACTATGAGCAACAGATCTGAACCCTGTCCTGTCCTGTGCCATCCTCACACTTCCTGACAAACTAGAGCCCATTGTTGCAGTCACTGTGCAAATCTACCTGGTTGAAGATCTTCCTCTCCTTCATTTCTGAGCATCATGTCCGTCTCTAAGGAATAGCCCCTCCGATCAACATGCCCAACATATGTGAGGCAAAGCCTCATCATCCTTGCCTGCAAGGAGCACTCTGGCTGCACCCTCTCCAAGACATATCTGTTTGTTCTCTTGGCTGTCTGTTGGATGTTCAGTGCTCTTCTCCAACACCACGGCTCAAAGGCATCAATTCTTATTCTGTCATCCTTATTCACTGTCCAGCTCTCAGATGCATAGCGTGTGATTGAAAAGACCATGAACTGGTACACCTTAGTCTTTAAATTAACATCATTGCTCTGCAAAAACATAGACATTGAAATCCTAAGGAGACTAATTCTATTCTAATCTGCTATGAATGTCCATGAATTCAAGTCGACTTGACATTAATGGGCTAAGAGAATTGGGCATTTAGTCCCAGTGTTAATTGCTCTGGTTAAGTATGAATAGATTTGAAAGTGTGCTCTCTGAACTTCACACCTGGATTTCTCTGGTGAGTTTCGCCTTCTGACCTATATTTTCTGACTTTCAGGCTTATGTCGGTATCTCTGTCTTTCCCTGGTGTCTGTTGTCAATTGTGTTTTATAGGGTGTGGTTCCAACTGCCCAGCGTGCTGCCATCGTTGTGGGAGTAGAACTGCCAGTCTATGATATTACCAAAAAGCACTTAATATTGTCAGGGATGTTGGGAGACACAATTTTAACCCATTTTGTGTAAGTAAAATTCTCTATTTTCATCATCTGGAGCATATAAAAAAAAAGCCTCTTTCCCTGTAATCTTCTGTGCACCTGAGAAATGGTAGCCGTGGCGTAACTACATCAACTCTCCCATTACCATCACAAGTCTCTGATAAATAAATGAGTACTCAGAGGTCCTGGATGCTCTGGTCACCTTAATGCTTGGGGACAGCCTTTATTACAGCAGCCTACCAGATGTCTGTAAGCTTTGTATCTCTTCATTCACAAGTCTCTGTACATCTAATGAACACATCTTTTATTTGCTTGGCTTCATTTTGGATCAGCAAATAAACATTTCTCAATGGGAATCCATAAAAAGGGTGAGAGTTTATAGGGCCCATGAAGGTAAATTGTCATTTCTACTCTCAGCCTCTATTTTCTTTCTTTTGCAACCGTAATGGTATATTGCTCCTGAACAGCATTTGTCATATGGTTTGAAAATGTACATATCTAAAACGTACCGCGGTTTGAAACTGTACGTAACTAACAGATGATGTCTGATACCTTACTGTTTTGAGATCTTGTTAGGCCTTCCAATTGAGTTTCATACTGAAAAGTGAAAGGGGCAATTTTTAAATGGTATCTCTTCAGAAAAGATCTCCTTTTTCTTTAGATTATAATGGAAGAGCGAGTGCCAAGTTTTAACTCAGGGTCTACATTTATTGATGCTTGGCCTAATTTCTGTTTAAGGGAACTGGGAAGGGGGCATGGAGTAACTGCTATCTTAAGGTTTTCATCCTTAGTTCCAGCTTTACATGTGGTTTGGCCGGGGCTCTGGCCTCCAATCCGGTTGATGTGGTGAGGACTCGCATGATGAACCAGCGGGCAATCGTGGGACATGTGGACCTCTATAAGGGCACTTTGGATGGAATTTTAAAGGTATGTGCAGTGCGGGCTAGGATTGGATTTTTGTCATTTTCTGTTATGTCTCAAACATTTTTTTTTCAGTCTTAAGTGCGACATATCTTTCAAGATGAAAGAATCAGTTTGCATATTGTTAGTAGCATCTCCTGGTCATTCCCCAGCAGAAAAGTTGTATCCTTGGCAATTTGCCGATGCACAGTGATCCTTAATATCATTACTGCAATTTGGGTGTTTGGGATTGTAGGAACAGAGAAGACTTCCACTATTCTGCATCTGCCCTCTTGGGACCAGAGACCTTGTAATAGAAAATACAGTGCTTGTTCTCAGTTCAAGGTTATGCTGTTGTTCACACCTTGACTTTGAGTGTCTGCTGTGTTATATTTGGATCCAGTTCAAACCCATGCTAAGAACTTTCCCTTCTACCACAGTGGCTTAGTTTATAGGGAGTTGCCAACTCCTACAAGTTGGTGCCTCTCTGACAGTTTGAATACACTGACTGCTCAGAGAGAGAAATATGGGCAATCTACTCTATGCAGTTTACAGCCTCTGAAAATCCACTGTGAATTGGTTCTGACCTGATGGTAATGAATTTTGAGTTGATCCCAGATACATTATTTCAGAATCTCCATTTTAACAAGATCCTAATACATTTTTTTAATACATAAGGACCCCTGGTTTTCCAGGGAGTAAATTATTTCTGGAGGAGTTGCCCATTTTTCTCCTACACAGTGGCTAGTAGACTCAAACATTGGACTTACCTGTTAGCAGCTTGATAACTTTTCATACTGTGCCACCAATGCTCCTTAAATCCAAAGCAATGCACCACAACAAGATAAAGGTAAACAATCAGATTGAAAAATGGGCACAGGATATGAATGGACACTTCACCAAAGAAGACATTCAGATGGCCAACAAACACATGAAGAACTGTTCAAAATCCCTACCTCTAGGAGAGATGCAAATCAAAACAACTGTGAGATATCATCTCACCCCAGTATGAATAGCAAAATTTAACAGAATAGCAAACAACAAATGCTGGAGAGGTTGTGGAGAGATGGGAACCCTTATTCACTGTTGGTGGGAGTGTAAAATGGAGCAGCCACTGTGGAAGACTGTTTGACACTTTCTCAAAAAGTTGCAAATAGAAATACCATTTGACCCAGCAATTCCACTACTGGGCATTTACCACAAAGAAACCATAACTGCCACCCAAGCAGATATATGCACACCCATGTTTATCGTGGCTTCATTCACAATAGCAAAGAGAAAAAACCTAAGTGCCCATCAACAAGTGAATGGATAGAGACGCTCTGGTATACAACGGAATACTATGCTGCGTTGAAAAACAAGTAACTCATGAAATATTATTCAAAATGGATGACTCTGGAGGACATTATGCTGAGTGAAGTATCTCAGTCACAAAAGGACAAATACTGCATAGTGCAGTGTCACTGTTGTGAAACGGGACTGACATTGGGGTTGGGGGGAGACTGAGAAAGATGGGATATATTATGCATACTGCATTGAAACAGATGAGGGAGAGAACTGTTTAAAAGGGATATATGGTTAGGTATTATTGTCATGACAGGAGTCCAGAAGGAAGGCTGCATAGTGTAGTGGACTTAGGGAGAGAGATTGTGTAACAATGAAAGAATTTTTCTCTTCAAAGAGAAGAGTGAACTAGGGGGGAGTTGGGCAGGGAGAAAAGTGTAATAATGAATGAATGAATGGAAATCCAAAGTTTCTGTAAATTTTCATTAAAATTAATAATAATATTAAAATAGTTAAGGGAAAAATCCAAAGCAATCGTCTCTAAACTTTAACATGTATCCGCATCCCAATACATGAGGACTTATTAAAATGTGTGTTGCTTAGCCCAGTCTCCAGAGATTTTGACTCCAAAGGTCAGATTTGTAACCTGAGAATGTTCATTTCTCACACTTTCCTGGACAACATTGATGCTGTTCTTCCAGAGACTAGCATGAGGTGGATAGTTCATATGCAGTGATGTTAGCTCAGGGGAGTATCAAAATCCTGGGGATAACAAGCAGGTATGTCTTGGAGTAAGTATAGCCAGAGTGCTCTTGGAGGCAAAGATATCAAAGTTTTATGTCACATATTTTGGGCATGTTCCTTGGAAAATGACATCACACTTGGAAAAGTGGAAAAAGAGAGGAAAACCCTCAGCAAGTGGTGACTACAGCCATGGGCTTGAGTATGTCAGAGATGATGAGGATGGCACACGATAGGACAGGGTTCAGATCTGTTGTTCACAGGGTCACTATGAATCATATTGGACAGCAACAACAACAACAACCTGGAGACTACACTGAAAATCACGAAATTAGAGATAGGGAAGCAGATTAGGCTCTTCCAGTGGCTCAGAGAGAATGAAGGCCTGAACGTGAACATGATATTGAAGGTGTAGAAAAGGGGACAAATTTGAGAATAATTTTGTTGATAAATCAATGGGATTAGATTGATTGGATGTAGAAAAGGAGAGAAAGGGGGTATCGAAAATAACTTCAGGTTTTTGTGCTTGGTGACCAAGTAATTGCATTCATTGACAGAGGCATGGCAGAAAGGGAAGCAGGTTTTGTGGGAGACATCATAGTTTTGGACTCTTAATTTGAAGTGCATTAGGAACATCCAGTGGATGTGTCAGGGATTGAGAAAAATCTTGAGGAGCCATCAGTTTACAGGCAGAGCAGAACTGTGGAGGGTTTTGACCAAAAAAACACAGGCAGAGGAGCTCACAACCTTTTTACCTCACTGAGGTCCTAAAGAACTCCTGAGAACAACAATGCTTGGGGCAGTGAGTCTCAGACCCTGGGGCATAAGGTTTGACAAAATCCCCCATGGCATTTCTGATTTCCTGTCTGATAATCACAGAGAGGAGCAGTGGGCCAGGAAAGAACAGTAAGGAACACTGATTTTTTTTTTTCAACTTTAATGCTAACAGCTTCCCGGAACACTGATTTTTAAGAGCGAGGCAAGCAAGGAACCTTTTCAACCTTTATGGAGAACAGATCATCCGAGACACTGGGCTATACGAGGAGGAATGTAGCATCAGGATTGGTGGAAGAATCATCAAAAACCTGCGTTATGCAGATGACACAACCCTGCTTGCTGAAACTGAGGACGACCTGAAGCACTTGCTGCAGAAGGTCAAGGACTGCAGTCTTCAATATGGATTGAAGCTCAACATCAAGAAGAGAAAAGATTCTCACCACTGGGCCAATTGGCAGCATCAGAATGGATGGTGAAGAGATTGAGATAGTTAACAGATTTAGTTTACTTGGTTCCACAGTCAACACTCTTGGTAACACCAGCCAGGAAATCAGGAGACAAATTGCATTGGGAAAGTCAGCTGTCAAGGACCTCTCAAGAGTACTGAAGAGCAACGACATTAGGCTGGAGACTAAGGTGCACCTGATCCAGGCTATAGTCTTTGCAATTAAATGCTATGCATTGGAGAGTTGGACAGTGAATAGGGAAATAAATTGATGCCTTTGAGCTGTGGTGCTGGAGAAGAGTGTTGAATATACCATGGACTGCTAGGAGAACAAACAGGTTTGTCCTGGAGAGGGTGAAGCCAGAATGCTCCTTGGAGTCAAGGATTTTAAAGCTTTGTCTGACATACTTTGGGCATGTTGCAAGGAGGGACTGGTCCTTGGAGAGGGACATCATGTTTGGGAGAGTGGAGGGACGGTGCAGGAGAGGAAAACCCTCGATGAGATGGATCGATTCTGTGAGTGGAGTGGTGGGAATGAGTGTGTTTGAGACAGCGAGGTTGGCACAGGATAGATTGGCGTTTAGGGCTCTTATACATAGGGTCGCTATGAGTCACAAGCGACTCGATGGCACATAACAACAACAAGAAGCAAGGATCCCAGCAAAGCCAATGAAAGGGAGATAGAAGTTTCAGGTTAATAATGTTAAGTGTCATGGAATCCACTCTGACTTGTAGCGACCCTTTGTGCAACTGAAGGGAACCTTGCCTGATCCTCACAGTCTCTGCTGGTTGTTGCCATTGCCATGTTGATCCATCTCCTCAAAGGTCTTGGTCTCCCGTGCTAACCCTCTACTTTTCCGAGCATGATGTCTTTCTCCAGTGAATGGCCCAAAGTAGGTGAAGCAAAGTCTCACCACCCTTCCTTCTAAGGAGCACTCTAGTTTCTTCTTCCAAGACAGATTTGTATATTCTTTTGGCAGTCAATAATTTAGTCAATATTCTTCCCCAGAAACAAAATTCAAAGGCATCAGTTCTTCTCTTGTCTTTCCTGTTCATTGTCCAGCTTTCACACACAAATAAAGCAACTGAAAATTTCCATGACTTAGAAGTATTGATCCTTACTGTAAATAAAAAAGAATGACATCCTGGCTCTTCAGCGCTTTTAAAGGGTCTTTTGGAGATATATTTGCACTAAGCAATACATCTTTTGATTTCTTTACTGCTGCTACCACAGTGTTGATTGTGGCTTTGTTGTTATTGTTGCTGTTATGTGTCACTGAGTTGACTACAATTCACAGTGACCCTGTGAGCAGGACACTTGCCCTATTAGATCCCGTAGATGTGGAGCCTGGCCCTGTTCTACACCATCGTCTTGACCTCTGCCTTTTACCGGCCGCTTTCTGTACTCACTGTGTTATTCCGTCTCCTACGGGCTCTTCCTCTCTCGCTGACCCCTCTGCCTTTCCCGCATAATGTCTGTCTCCAAGGACTGGCCCCAGCTGACAACATGCCCAGAGTATATGAGACAAAATCTTGCCGCCTTTGCCCCTTAAGAGCCCCCTGGTGGTACTTTCCCCAAGACAGATTGGTTTGTTCTGTTGGTAGTCCATGTGATATCCAATATTCTTCATGAACACAATTCACAGACCTCATTTATTCTTCAGTCTTTATCATGGTCCAACTTTCAGATGCAGAGGAAGCAATGGAAAAACCACGGCATGAATCAGCCATGCTTAGCTTTTAAACTGACATCTTGGCTTTTTTAGTACATTGAAGACAT